TAATATCCGGCCAAAGCTGGATATTTGGTAACTATCCGGTATCCGTTCCATAACTATTGCTAGTTCTAGTTTGGGTTTAGCCGTCTTAAGAGACGTATAGCTAAACCAGAATGTTTCTAGTTTTAGGTCTAGTGTTAGTTCTAGTTTTAGTTCAATGAAAAATATGCAACAGTCTAATGCTGAGTAACAACTACAACAAGAACTAATACTAGCATTAAAACTAACACTAGACTCTAGGTCCGAATGTAAACTCGAATATTTCTAGTTCTAGCGAAATTCAAGTGTGAAATAGTAGTTGCCTACCCATGCATGACGTCACGAACGGGCCTTGGAGCTGTATACCTGTTCACGTGATGAAGCAGCCCTCTTCGATTCTATTCTATTTTTATTTCAACAAAAATATACAACAATCTGACGCTGAATAATAATTAAAACTAGAACTACCGTTCTTGATTTATAGGAAGTAGTTTCTTGAGGTCGTTATATCGAGGTTTTACTGTATTCCAAAAAAAAATGTTATTTGTAATATAGATTTGTATATACATATAATATGGATAGTATTACTTTATACGAATTTATGATTAAATCGTATAGACCATCGAAACAATTCGTAAACGGCAAATAGAAGAATTTAAAAGCTTTCCGAATTGAAAACACGGTTTGTTACTATATATATTCATTTTTAGCCGACGTGGACAAACGATTGGCACGAAAAGGGGAAAATAAAACTAGAAGTTTTACAGGAATGGTTTTGACTGTTGTTGTGTGCGCGCTCAGCCCATTTATCAGATTACATAAACATATTTATCGGCGTTTGCAAATTGACGATGCGTACCGAAAAATAAAATATATCGTTTTTCATTTGCGTTAAATTAAAAAATATTCCGACTTGTTTAACATAGTGTGGTATATTTCCGTTTTTCGTTATTTATTATGAAACGTCCGATATTTAATATTAACATTATAATTTTTTTTTATTTCAGTTAATAATCTTTTTTCCGTTTTTAGTTATACCACAAAAAAATTTTGTTTCAAATTATATTTTAAAAATAGGTTTTTATATGAAGGTAGTTTCGTTCTTGTTGGTTGAAACTGGATTCTTTTTTTAAATTAAATTGTAGACGCTCGTGGAATATAATAAAATTTTCCACCCCTATAAATTTTTCGACACAATAACAACGTATTCTGCGGATAGAAAAGCCAATTTAAAACCTACGAGATCGTTAAGAGTGTAACTAGATTATGTTAAATTTTTAATTTAATTTAGTAGCTGTTTCGCAAAAACCGAACTAACAAGGTTAACAAATACGTTTGTCAAAAAAGTTTTTGTTAAAAATAACGTGACTAAAACTGGACTATTAACAATAACGAATTCCTTCTATTGTACGAATAATAAACTTGTGTGCTCAAAATATGTCATTTGAATTTTTTACCAATATTCTGGTAATCCTATCAATGCAAAAAGAACAAAGAAAATAGGAGAAAAAATTCACGGGGGAAAAAGTTGAAAATATGTGCATCTCGATTTATAGCAAACAGACTGTGCAACCGGTGCACAGATATCGGCTGAAAGCTAATGGTTCTGCGAAGTAGTTCGTCTGGCGGTCCGCGAGACGGTGATCTTTAAAGTACTAAATTTTACGAGCCAGCACCGTTGCCGGTTCGACTTATCGTAACGTGCAGCAGGGAAAACCTCGTAAATTTGGCACCGCGCTCACTTCGTTGGAACTGTGGTTATGAAGTCCGCAGAAGGAAGACGAGGAATTGCAATTTGAATTTTTACTGCGTCCTCATCCGCATGAAATTTGTAAATGGGTGGAAAAAAAAGTAAGGAAAGGAGAAAGAAAATAAATCTTTAAATTCAGTAAAAACTAATAGTTTTTATTGTGCAATATGGTATAGATTGTATTGCCTGTAGGTTGTGTAGTATTTGCCATCTCAAACTGGAAACGAATAGATTAACACGGCGAAGCGAAAACTTGGCTACGAAAGTAAAAGAGAGTGAAAGAAAATCTCTCTCAGCTTTGTGGAATGTCAAGAGTAATGATTATAGCAACAAACTTCTTTCTTTTGTGCCTGCAATTAAAACTAGTCTTATAGAATATTTATTTTTATCTCAACTCTTAAAGCTACATACTCATTGACTAGAATTTATCCATCGATTGTTTTTATACACAACACACGACACAACATCACATGCTTTTCTGCTTTTTAGAATTGGGATATAGTATATGTTTTAGTCTTAAGGCTGCGTTGAAGAGATAGGTTAGCATGACCTAGGATGATCTCTTCTAGGCAAGTCCTAGAGCATTCTTTGGGTTCAGGTTAGTTCTTATGTCATCTGCTACTTCTTTAGGAGTCATCTTCTTCTAGCTCTTGATAAGTTATCTGATCAAGTGGATAATTCACTTAATTAGTATTACTTATTACCCACTTTAATGTTATGTAGGCCGTTAATTAGGTAAGACATCTTATTCAGCTTCTTTTTCTAGCTTCTCACACGTACTAAGCTAATGTTTAGGTTGATTTTGTTCTGGAGATCAATCTGAAACTTTTCCAATCACTAGTTTTATCCTCACAGTAGCTTTGGCTGTCTTTTTGATCCTTTCACTTAATGTTGGAATAACGGCTAAGTGGTCCATGTCAAAATTCTCTTAAATTTCTATAAAAATGGAAGATACATTTTGGTATAAGTAAGCCAGTAGATTGGCTTTCCTGTTGAGTGATAGTTGCAGTTCATCTCTTTACCTTACGTGTTTGGTGTCTTACGTGTTGCGCTTTTTTCTGTAATATTTTGGCGGGCAGTAAACTACACTGACATTCAACGTTTGTTGTTATGACTGATATGCAATTACTGTTAATTGGATGTCCTTTCTTTACAGATAACTATGTTTTAGTTAACTATGTTAGTTAGATTATAGATGGTTCTGATGTCGATAGGTGCTGATTTTGCTGGTTTCTCTTGAATGCTTTGGGCATAAAAATGCTTTCTGCAGCTCCATTGTTATTGTGCATCCTCTGCAGCTAGCTGCACATGTCAAGAAAATACAATGTGTAGTTAAGTGCGCATTTCATATAAGCTAGAGCTATTCTGCAGAATTTCGTTGTGTCCATGCAAGTGATATCTTTAACATTGCGGAATAAAGTTGCTATTCGTTACTGCTCTATTCGTTATCACAAAATTCTGACTCAGAAGTAACAGTGTTTCGTTCTGCTAATCTTTTGTGGTAGTTTGGTGGACCTAGAAGTCACACTGTGCAACATTTTATTTAGTTATTGCCTTCAGTAGATTATAATACATAATTCACATAATTATCTCGTTGCCACCACCTCTCTCATCCATTTTCTCCTCTCCGTCTTCTCCCCCAGCACCTGACCCAGTCCATCACCTCCTCCTTCAACTCATCATACTCTACCAGCAGATGGTTTAAAGACTTCCAACCAATATCTATTTGGCTTTTCTTCGTTACCACACCTAAATCTAGTCACCAACCTCTTTCCCTCTCGGTCATCAAGTACTTCGAAGCCACTCTGTTACAATCTCCCCATATTTTGGGTTATATCTACTCTTCCTTATCTCCGTCTTTCTCTTTTGCATTCCCACATTCTTCTCTTTTCCTGTTCACCTCATCCGTTGAGTACCCCACCCTGCTTTCGTATCTCCCTTTCTTGCTGCCTATAACACCCTTTTCTCAATCTCCATTCGACACTGACCCAAGATTTTACAACGAACCCTTCTTTCCATCCTCTCCTCAAAATGCACTGCTCACTTACCCGTGTCCACCCTCACCTTATTGACCTTCATTTCTTTTCTAACTATATCCTTTAGCAGCTTTTGCTCTTTCCATCCTAATATTTCCATCCCATACATCATAACGCTTTTTATCAAGTTCTCAAACATTATCCTCCTTTTTTCCACATATATCCTTACTGTTTTTATTTTCACTTTGTTGTTAGAGATAGTTCTTTTGAGTTACTTCTCAAATTTACACATAAAAATGGAACATACACTATTTATTAATTTATTACTTTTATTTTCTTTATATCTTAAATTAAGAAACGGTTAAAAGAGCTGTACTAAAAGTTTTCTTCGATAAGCCGGAAGGAAATTTACATTCTCCGCAACTCCAACAGATGAGACTCTAGAGAGGTTAACGAGCGAAAACGGCTCGTCAGAGTTTAAATAGAATTCGTTATAGTAACGAACGATCGATACGAGCTCGTTTACACCCCTCGAGTCTATTTTGACGTATTTATGGTGATGTAGCGCAAAATTTTCTTGTTTTCCACTTCTATTTCTGCCGGTGTAATTTCCATTTTCAATATTCATTCTATAATTTTTTTATTAATCAATAAATTATAAATAAATGAAGTGATTGATAAATTTAACACTGAATAGTAAGTAGTATATTAATCAAAACCGTATAATTTCTCTTGGTATTTAATCATGATGGTACCGCAATCGTCAGAGTAAACGAGGCTCGTTTATACTCGGTTATTCGATTTTAACATCAAAAGCCCTAAATAGCAATTCACCATAAATGTAACTTTATCATTTTAATCAATTCATCGTATTTTCTATCTCTTCAATTATTTATGAACTTAGTTGATATAATTAGCGCAAAATGATAAGGTTCAAAGATATTTTTATCATTCAAGAGATGAGAGAAGTAAAAAAAAATGTAAATAAATAAAAATATGGATGGACTGTTGGTAGTTATTCAGGGCGGATGCTCATGTTTTATAAATTCACCCCGTCGCTCTAATAGCTGGGGATTCTTTCGAGAAGCGGACTTCTTTTGCATTCAAAAAGTTCTCCAGTTTTACCCCTCTAGCTCTCAAAATGAAAGGATCTCTCTCGTTTCTTTATCCATTTCACGAGTTGTGCAAAAAAAGAAGAATAAGAAGAGGTGCTAAGTTACACTGAATTATGTTTATTTTGTTTAATAAATTTTTAATTGAATTAATTTAAATTATTTAAAGGTTTTTTTTTATTTCAGATTACATCGAACGATATTGGTGCGAGTGAACTTCTTTTGGAACTTTTGGTAAAAATAGCAGCACATCCCGATCAGTGGGAACAAGTACATAATTTATTACGTAAGTTCCTTTTTAGTTAACAAAAACTTTTTTATGAAAATTATGTTTTATACGAGTTATTGTTATGAGGCATAAAAAGTATATCTCAAAAACAACATAATATTCTTGTCGTTCGCTTGTTGTAGTCTGTCCCTTGAAAAGAAACTTTTTACTCCAACTGTCGTACTTTGAACCCTCAAAGAAGAGGGAATTCTCGCGCCGTTTATGACGTCCGGAGCGATAAAATGAAAGTTTTGCCGTTTCAAGAGAACCCGGAGTAATTACTTTCACTTCTAAAAACCGGTTCACCCCATCGACAGACACTCCCCGCTTCGTCTCCAAAGACTCTAACAACCCCTTTGGGGGTAGTCGAGGTTTTGGATGTCTTTTTATGTCTCCAGATCGAGATTTTCACTTTCTCGTTGGATCTTTCCTTTCGTATTCTTGCAACGGTTCGGTAATTAATTTAAACGGAGATGAATTATTAAAACGATTTATTTGAAATATTATTTAAAACAAAAAGATAAAACTAACAGTAAACCTAGAACTAGAAACATTTGAGTTTAGCCGTACATCTCTTAAGATGGCTAAACCCGAATGTTTCTAATTCTAGCTCTAGTGTTAGTTCTAATGCTAGTGTTAGTTCTTGCTTTAGGTGTTATTTAGCGTTAGATTGTTGCATATTTGTCATTGAACTAAAATTAGAACTAACATTAAAACTAGAACTAACACTAGACCTACAACTAGAAACATTCGGATTTAGCCGCACGTCTCTCAAGACGGCTAAACCCGAATGATTCTAGTTCTAGGTCTTGTGTTAGTTCTAGTGATAGTGCAAAACTAGAATTAACACTAGACCAAGAACTACAAACATTCGGATTTAGCCGCACGTCTCTCAAGACGGCTAAACCCGAATGATTCTAGTTCTAGGTCTTGTGTTAGTTCTAGTGATAGTGCTA